GCGGGAGGCCCCATTAGCTAAAGTGGTGCTTCAGGTTAAGAACAGTTTCAGGTTAAGAATGGACCTCCAGAACGAATTAAATTCTTAACCCGAAGTACCACTGTACCTGACATTTAGAAAACAACTGAAGGCAGCCCTGTTCAGGGAAGTTGTTAATGTGTGACATTTTGATGTATTTTTAATCTTTGTTGGAAGCCGCCCAGAGTGGCTGGGGAAACCCAGCCAGATGGGCGGGGTACAAATAATATATCATCATCATCATCATCATCATCATCATCTAGTTTTAATGAGGGTGAAAGAGGAGAGCGCAAAATATGGTCTGAAGCTCAACATCAAAAAAACGAAGATCATGGCCACTGGTCCCATCACCTTCTGGCAAATAGAAGGGGAAGAAATGGAGGCAGTGAGAGATTTTACTTTCTTGGGCTTCATGATCACTGCAGATGGTGACAGCAGCCACGAAATTAAAAGACGCCTGCTTCTTGGGAGAAAAGCAATGACAAACCTAGACAGCATCTTAAAAAGTAGAGACATCACCTTGCCAACAAAGGTCTGTATAGTAAAAGCTATGGTTTTCCCAGTAGTGATGTATGGAAGTGAAAGATGGACCATAAAGAAGGCTGATCGCCGAAGAATTGATGCTTTTGAATTATGGTGCTGGAGGAGACTCTTGAGAGTCCCATGGACTGCAAGAAGATCAAACCTATCCATTCTTAAGGAAATCAGCCCTGAGTGCTCACTGGAAGGACAGATCCTGAAGCTGAGACTCCAATACTTTGGCCACCTCATGAGAAGAGAAGACTCCCTGGAAAAGACCCTGATGTTGGGAAAGATGGAGGGCACAAGGAGAAATGGACGACAGAGGACGAGGTGGTTGGATAGTGTTCACGAAGCTACCAGCATGAGTTTGACCAAACTGCGGGAGGCAGTGGAAGACAGGAGTACCTGGTGTGCTCTGGTCCATGGGGTCACGAAGAGTCGGACACGAGTAAACGACTAAACAACAACAATTGGCCGCTGTGAGAACAGGATGCTGGACAAGGCTAGCTGACCCAGCAGGGCTTTTCCCAGGACTATATGCATGTTCCCCACTTCCAAGTGGTGAGAAATTCTAGGGACAGTGTCATGGGGCGGTTAGCTTGCTTTGGATGAGAGTACACTGGAGTCTACTGGTGTATTTGGCACATTTGCTTTGTTTACAGTTTTTCAGGAGGCTGTGGTAGAAGAACCAGCCTGAGGTGATCCTCCAGGGGGATCCTGTGCTAGACCACACTTGAAGGTTTCCATTGACAAAGTCTCCCTCACATGGGCACAAGAGTTGCCAGGTCTAGAATGAACTTTCCCTCTTCACTTGTATCTGAATAGGCTTTAGGTGCTAAAAACGGAAAAGGAAAACACGGCACACAAGTCAGGTGGAAAACTGCTCAAACAGGTTGTGGTTAGAAGCCTCCTCCTTGCCTGGAGAGGCTTCTCCTCCAAAAAAGGAGAGGTGAGGAATGAAAGCCAGGGACAGTTGGTGGGGTGAGAGAGCCTCTCTCAGAAGTGGAGGAAGGAAGAGAGCCTGTTGGCTGGCTTATGACTCCTAAATTCTCTTCTTCACCTCAAGTTTCATCACCAGCAAAGGCAGAAATGAGCCCATGGAGATCAGCTGGAGATATAGTTGCTGGACCTAGGCCTGGTTAGGACAATCTGGTAAGCCAAACTTTGACATATCAGTACTGTGGTCACATTTGCACTTTGCAGCGTTTCTCAAACTTGGGTCCCCCAGCTGTTGTTGGACTACAACTCCCATCATCCCTACCTAGCAAGACCAGTGGTCAGGGATGATGAGCGTTGTAGTCCTACAACAGCTAGGGACCCAAGTTTGAGAAAAACGGCTATGGTACCACTTTAAACAGTCGTGGCTTCCCCCAAAGAAATCTGGGGGCTATAGCTTGTTAAAGATGCTAAGAGTTCTCAGGAGATCCATATTCCCCTCACACAGCTTCAATTCTCAGAGTGCTTTAACCATAAATCGTTCTTTATAGGGAACTCTGGGAATTGTAGCCTTGGGAGGGGAACAGGGGCCTCCTATCAATTCTCTATCACCTTTAACTACACCTCCCAGGGGAAACCATTAGTTATCTGGGTGGAAGCCAGGACCGCAGCACCTCAAGGACCACCTCTCCCCATATAAACTGACCTGGACTCTACGTCCATCCTCTGAGGCCCTTCTTCATGTGCCCCCTTCACGTGAGGTCTGAAGGATGGCCACAAAAAACCAGGTCTTTTCTGTAGTGGCTCCCCGTTTGTGGAATGCTCTCCCCAGGGAGATTTGCCTGGCACCTTCATTATATATCTTTAGGCACCAGGCAAAATGTTCCTCTTTAACCAGGCCTTTGGCTGATTAATATTCTACAGCCTTTTAAATATGTTTGAAGGAGGGGAGATTATTGTGTTATTGTTTTTCTTTTAACTATTTACTTGTGTTTTTACATTGTATTTTTACCCTGTGAACCTCCCCAATATCTTGTGATGAAAGGAAGTATAAAATTAATAAGAATGATGATGATGATTATGACTAGTTTGTTCCTCAGTAATGTGCTGAGCTAGGCCAAAGGTTAAGCTGTAGTTAAGCTCTCCAGTTCTAGTTAAGAACAAAGCAAGCTGGTGAGCAGAGAAGCTAACTAGAGTTCTGGTTCAGATGACACGCTAAGGCAAACTCTGGCTCAGCTCAGAATGGCAGGATCTTACAAAGGTCTGAGGAGGACCCAAATGAGTGCCAGCTCCTCTGTGGGAGCTCTCACAGTTGTGTGGTCTCAGTGAGCCGTCGTTTGGCTTGCTGTCTCATGTGAAGCAGATCTGAAAACTGTCTCACTTAATCATTGTAAGGCTGCAATCCTAGACTCTCCTGGGAGTCAGTCCCATAAAACTTAGTGGACCTTAGTTCTGAGTAAACATGCATAGGAACTGTGCTTCGAACATATCATACCCTCCAACATTTCTTCGATGAAAATAGGGGCAGCCTATTCCATACCTTCCAACATTTCTCTGATGAAAATACGGGCATCCTAAGGAAAAGTGGGACATTCCGGAATCCAATCAGAAACCAGGACATCTTCTATAAATCTGAGACTGTCCCTGGAAAATAGGGACATTTGGAGGGTTTAGCATATTACTAGGGTCTCATTTATCTGCATGCAACAATGGTTCTTTCTCCCATGTCCCCCTCAAAAAGATCTCCAGAGATATTGTTGGCTTAGTTGGTGGCCCTTGAGAGCAACGAGGTTTTTTATAAAATCGAAATATGCTGCAAGGGATTCAATAAGAGTTTTTGGAAGTGCCACATTCTCCGTTTTGGGGAGATTATGACCTTTCCCAACAACTTAAGTGCCTGGATCTGTCACATTGGATTTCTTGAAATACTCTGATGGTGGCAGAAGAGGAACCCCACAAGAATAGGAAAGGTTAGCGAACTCTCCATCTTTTTTTTTTGCAACCTTCAAAAGGCTTTGACGAGAGGCTTGTTTCTATTTTGAAGAGCAAAGCTTAAAGATAGGGCTGACCTATTAAGTCATCTTGGACACTCCCTGCTCACGGCATGCCATTTCAGCGTTCCACAGACTGTAACACGGACAGATGTAAGGGGAGCTAAAGGAAATGGAGGAAAGGGGTCTGGTTCAGCTCCAGGAATCAAATTAAGTGCGTACCTCAAGAGGAACAACCTGTGCTAATTTGCAGGCTACTAAAGGTGCTTCCGGACTGTCCATATTCTACAGGAGGGAGACAAGCGCATAGCGGAACTTTGCGCATTGAGGCCCCAATCCTGGGCAGTGTAGTTTCTTAAGGGTGCTGAGGGTTGTTGAGAGATTCCCTATTCCCGCCCACAGAGCTACAATTCCCACAGTGGTTTAGCAATCAATCCTTCTTCCCAGGGTTCTTTGCAGGAAGCCATGGCTGTTTGAAGTGGTATGATACTGCTTCAATGTGCACAGTGCAGATGGGGCCTGTATCTCCGCAAAGCTCCCTATCTAAGCATGGCTCTGGTCAGTGTGACTTCCACGTTACAGCCGCTCTGACAGGCAAAAGGGGTATTAGGGCATGAGGAGGAGGAGGAGAAGGGGTCTTGTCCAACCTCCTGAAGCCACAAAGAACAAGGCTCCATCTATAGGGTTGCCAGGAATTCCTGCTCGGCCACCAATATCATCTTACCTGGCACAAGTTTAGCTCTTTTACTTTCCTAGAAGCACCTATCAAATGCAGCTGGAAGAGTCCAGTCCGGTGTAGAAGGGCCATTTAGGTATTGCCAAAAGAGAGGAAATCACACCTTGCAACACCTTGCTGATCAAAATGCTCATTTTTTTTATTTTTTATTTTTTGGTCCTGAGCTCCTGTGGGAGGTAGAAAGACGAAAAAACAAGTGTCTTTTGGCCAGGCGCTTTGGCGAAAGCCAGCTAACTTGCATCAAAGCACTGGACCAAAAACTGGGACATTCCTGGATTCAATCCGGGACGGCTTCTGTAATTTCAGGATGTCCCACTCAAATAGGGACTGTTGGGCAGTATGCAAAATGCACCCTTCATGCACACACAGTAAAGGCAGAAGAGGACACAGATTTGCATGCAATCTGCATATGCTACTTTATATAGAGAGATGTAGATTTAGATGTAATTATGATCATTTACTTGATTATAGATAATAACACTGAGCTCTCTTAGAATCGTAGAATCGGAAGGGGCCCTGAGGGCCATCTTGTCCAATTCTCTGCAATGCAGGAATATTTGCAATGGAAGAATCTTTTGCCCAACTTGAGGCTGAACCCACGAATCCTAGAATTGTAGAATTGGAAGGTACACCAAGGGTCATCTAGTCCAACCCCCTGCAACACAGGAATCTCAACTTGATCATACATGACAGATAGCCATTCAACCTTTGCTTAGAAACCTCCAAGGAAGGAGAGTCCCCAACCTTCCGAGGGAGACTGTACCGCTGTTAAACAGCTCTTATTGTCAGAAAGCCTTTTCTGTATGTTTAGTCGGAATCTCTTTTCTTGTAACTTGAATCCATTGGTTCGAGTCCTGCCCTCTGGAGCAGGAGAAAACAAGCTTGCTCTGTTTTCCATTTGAGGGCCCTTTAGATATTTGAAGATGGCTATCGTATCTACTGTCAGCCTCCTCTTTTCCAGGCTAAGCATACCCAGATCCTTCAACCGTTCCTCATCCAGAACCAGTGTGGTGTAGTGGTTAAGAGCGGTAGACTCGTAATCTGGTGAACCGGGTTCGTGTCTCCGCTCCTCCACATGCAGCTGCTGGGTGACCTTGGGCTAGTCACACTTCTCTGAAGTCTCTCAGCCCCACTCACCTCACAGAGTGTTTGTTGTGGGGGAGGAAGGGAAAGGAGATTGTTAGCCGCTTTGAGACTCCTTCGGGTAGTGATAAAGCGGGATATCAAACCCAAACTCTTCTTCTCTTCTTCTTCTTCATCAGGCTTGGTTTCCAGACCCTTGATCATCTTGGTCTCCTTCCTCTGCACACGTTTCAGCTTGTCAACATCCTTTTAAAATTGTGGTGCCCAGAATTGGACAAAGTATTCCAGACAAACAAGAAGCACAATCAGAGTTCAAGGACGCATTCCAGCCTGAGAAAAAACACTCAGGAAGGATGCAAACCAGGACCAGGGAGGGCTGTGGCCTGGGGTTGCCCCTGTGGACCAGACAGAGAGCCTGAGTGGAGGCTGCATTTGGCTCTCAGGCTTGATGTTCCTCATCCCTGATCTACATGGAGGATTGGGTTACAGCCATGGCTTCACCAAGTTCCAAGCCTTCCCTCTTTCTATGTTTATAGAGACTTTGGGAAAGCTATTGCTTCAAGAACGCTGCCTTTTAAGCAAAGCTCGCCATAAAAGAAATCACATAGACGTTACTTATCATTCATCTTCATGCCTTTGTTGTCAGTAGTCCAAACAGTGGTTGCTTTGTTACACCCCCTCTCCCCACACCAAAAGAAGACATCTAAGCAGTCTTTCTGATTTCCCAATTAAACAATTTACAGTAGCAGGCATCTCAGCCCCTGTGTTCTGTGGCGTATGATCCTGTTAGGGGCTGATGGGCTTTCTGGAAAAGTTTTGTATCAGCCTGCCTGAGTGTTTAAATCCTTTAACGGTGCTATTAATTCTAATCTGTCGTGATTTTTGCTGCTTAATTTATATGTCTGCTCAATGACTCATCCCTTCAGGAATTCCTCAGAAGCCCCATGTACCCTGCTGCAAACGACAAAAAAAGAGAGAGAAGGAAAAACTCTATTTATGATGGTTTTTTGCTTGATCGTTGCTATAATGCAGGGATGTCCAACAGGTGGATCGCTATCTACTGGTCGATTGTGGTGGGTCCGTGGTAGATCACTCCACCTCCAACTTTGGGTCCCTAAAAAAAGCTCATTGACAATCCAATGGGTAGATCACTGGCAGTTTTTTTTATAGTGGGAGTAGATCACAGTCTCTTGTAAGTTGGACATCCCTGCTATAATGCAAACAGATCTGAATGCCTAAGTCTATTAAGTCTACCAGGGTGTATGGGTTGTTAGGGGAGGGGTAGTATCTCTGCTGGGGGACATGTCATGCCCCTTCAGGGGTAGTCTGTCCACCTTTGGTCCCTATCCTGCACTCAGCTCTCATTTGTGGCTCCTAAAAGCTGACAATATGTGAAACAGCCACATCCCAGGGAACGGCTTTGACTGGCCGACTAAACCAGGTGCGGTCAGCTGATGGGTCTCAAATGCTTAGTGAGTTAGGGTCTTCCCCTACATGCAGAAACAAGCCCTGGTGGATTGAGTGAACGAGGCCAAAAGTGGGTCCAATGATCAAGAAGGCAGTTTCTGCACATGCTGTAGACGGAAGTGAGGGGCAGATGGGGCTCGTCCACCTGGGAAGGTAGCCCATCAAGGAGAAGGAAATATCTGATCCTAAACCTCCACTGCCTTTTGGGATATCTTCAGGAGAAGAAAAAGCTCAGGAGTGAACCCTACACAAACCCAGAGTGGTGTCCCTAAGACGGTTGGATGACGCCTTGTATGCCTCCTTCCGGCAATTCCTGTGGCCCAGCTGGCACCAAACGCCTTGCTCTGCTTTCCCTTAGACCACATGAAGGTTCACTGGGTGACTTTGGGCCTGACCTGCCTCACAGGGTTGTTGTGAGGATAAAATGGGGAGAAGGAGATGTGGGCATGCCACCTTGATCTCCTTGGAAGAAAGGTGGGATATAAATGTAATAAATATTAATCATAATAATAGGCTACAACCCAATGTATACAACTATTATATACATTGGCTCCCAGTACGTTTCCAAGCACAATTCAAAGTGTTGGTGTTGACCTTTAAAGCCCTAAAAGGCCTCAGTCCTGTATACCTGAAGGAGCATCTCCACCCCCATCGTTCTGCCCGGACACTGAGGTCCAGCTCCTTCTGGCGGTTCCCTCATTGCGAGAAGCAAAGCTACAGGGAACCAGGCAGAGGGACTTCTCGGTAGTGGCACCCACCCTGTGGAACGCCCTCCCATCAGATGTCAAAGAGATAAACAACTACCTGACATTCAGAAGACATCTGAAGGTAGCCCTGTTCAGGGAAGTTTTTAATGTGTGACATTTTAGTGTATTTTTGGTTTTTGTTGGAAGCCGCCCAGGGTGGCTGGGGAAACCCAGCCAGATGGGCGGGGTATAAATAATAAATTATTATTATTATTATTATTATTATTATTATTATTGAATAGCTGGTGCTTTGCAGAGCAGTGTTTTCAATGAGAAAAGTTTCTGCCCAAGGAGGTAACAGTAGATAGAGGAGTCGTCACAATGGAACAGGAGGCTTGCTTTACTTGTGTACGGAATATTCCTGCAGGGTTGTGTGTGTTCACTAGGAGCGCCTCCCCTGCTTACTGTAGTAAGCAGGGGTATTTGGGTATTTGTGACCCTCTAGATCAGGCATAGGCAACCTCGGCCCTCCAGCTGTTTTGGGACTACAATTCCCATCATCCCTGACCACTGGTCCTGTTAGCTAGAGATCATGGGAGTTTTAGTCCCAAAACTTCTGGAGGGCCGAGGTTGCCTATGCCTGCTCTAGATCTTGCTGGGCTTCCAAACCCACATCAGCCCAGCCAGACTGGCCAGTGACCAGGGATGTCAGAGGTTTTAGTCCCCACAGCCCTGACTTCCAGCCTTACAATTCTCCGATTTTTCTAGAGGTGAGAGAGGACTGCTGCGATGTTTATAGCTGCTCACTCAAACTCAAGTTAAAGAAATATTTGTTCTAAATGTAAATTGATCACTCTGGCTTGATGTTTCTATTTTGAGATGCAGATGGTTGTATATATAGATATAGATATATGTGATGTAAAAATAGACTACACTTGTCATTTCATTTCAATAAGGAGAAAAGGGATGTGAGAAGCCCTTTGCTGACAGCAGCCATATGGTGAAAGCTGACCACTTGTTAAGCATTCATTTTAACACTGTGAAAGTATTTGAATTATTAGATATTCAAGCATGCATGGTTTTTGTGTGATTGAGCTATGGGTGCATTTGGATGTTGTAGTTTGTTTTTTGTTTGTTTTTAAAGCGTGACATATAACAGAGATGAATCAAGCCCATGGAAATGTTTTCTGGCATAGTTGCGAATAAGTCTGGATTTTAGCCAGGGGACCAAATGTATAAAACCCTCCTCCTGCAGCAGCTACTTATTTAAGGCAACCGCACACAACAAGGATGTGATTATTTAATAGCTGAAGACACATCTACGAGGCAAATGTTCTACTTAGCTTTGTCCTGGGGGAAGCAACTAGAGGACAATCCCGTGACCATCCAATGTGTTCTCTTGTTGCCATTGGAAATGCAACAGCAGGGAGCATTCAGTTTGCACTCCAAGGGTTAATTCTGTTATCAGTAACTCAGCCAGCCGAAAGGGTGGGTGGGTAGAAGTGTTGCTTAGCAACCAGGTAGAGTGGCATGATCATCTACTGAGGCAGCACATGCTCTGATTGGCTGTGGAGTTCTGGTCCTCAGGACTCTCTCCCCAGCCAAACACCCCTCACCGACTTTGCCTTATGTCCTCCTTGCATGTTTTTGTCTGGCAGGAGTATGTCCTTGAACTTTGGCAAAGCTGCTTTCTTGCTTGAATGGAGGAAAGAGAGGGATGTGTGCATAGATGAACATGTCGCCCTGGGCTTGGGTCACACCCAAACCATACATTTAGAGCACATTGCTTTGCCCTGAGAATCCTGGGAACTGTAGTTTGTTAAGAGTACTGGAAATCATGGCTCTGTTAGGGGAATAGGAGTCTCTTAACCACTCTCAGCACCTTACAGGTTCCCATGATGCTTTGGGGGAAGCCGTGACTGTTTAAGTGGTACAATGAGTTCTTTAAATGTATCATGGGGATGTGGCCTCAGAGAGCCCAGCCTGAAACTATTTGAACTTTGGATAACTATCCTGGCCTCTGTGGCTTCTGCCCCTCCGCCGCTCGCTTCATCTCTTCCTCAAGCCGTGCGCTGAAGTCCTTTCATATGTCACTTTTGGACATCAGTAGCGAAAACATGAAGAAGTGTTATTTGCTCGGGGTTTTCGTGGAACTGCCAGCTTGGTGGTTTCATATGAGCAGATAGAAGCTTCACTGGGCCAATAGCCACATGAAAGGCATTTTGTGCCCTTAGGATAAGGAATAAAGGATTGGCTCAGATATCTCCCTACTTAACCTCCCCCCCTCTCCAGTTTCCAGCAACTTCAGTGGAAATGGCAAAGGAACCCCCCCCCCCAATTGGGAACTCTGCAGCCCACATTAAAAACGTTCTTTAAATCACATTGACATATTCCTTAAGTCATTTTTCATGTATTTATTTTTTAAGTCTGAATTTATCTCCTTTTAAACCTCCTTTCCAATAAGCCTTTGAAAAACACGCTAGTGTGTAATTACAGGGGTTAGATGGATTCCCCTCCTCTCTTTTTCTTTGGCCCTTGAAAGTTTTCCCCATAGAAAGTTTCTTAATCTTTGGAGATTAATCTTTAGTTTCCAAAAGTTCCACACTTTCATGACAAATTAAATTAAGATTAGGGATAACTTGGAAGGAGTGGGGGGAAAGAAATGAACCACGCAGATCACACACCAGCCATTAAGCCAGGGGAAATATAGGGAGCTGTGCCCCAGGGGTGTCCAATTCATGTGAGTAGAAGCCACGCATGGCAAGAAAACCACACTTCTTTGCCTCTTTTTCTCTCATT